GCAGGTGATACTACGATTTCTGGGTTCTGTCCTGCTGCTTGCGCCCTCGGTGGCGCACAAAATCTGATTGTTTGCTCCGGGCGTCCGCTCGATGGACTGATGAAGGGAAGCGCCGCTGTGCTGATTTTATGGTCAACCCCGCCCCCCTTTCCGCCGCTAATTTCTACGTGTGCTCGTACCATGAAGCGCGGCCACCAGGAGACCAGTGAACAGATGTCCGCTCCCGGGGGAATGGAGGAGAGTAAGCTACCAAATCACCAAGAACAGCACCATGGCTCTCATCGGAGGTCCTACGGGATGCAGCAGCAGCAGCAGCAGCAGCAGCAGCACCGGGAAGGAAAAGACTTTGCGGCGCAAGAGGCAGCGATGCGGGCGGCGTCATCCGCGCGGTGGGCGGAAGACGAGCGTTTCAACCTCAAGAACGCCTTCGGTCTCCAACTGCAGAGACTAGAGGTGAAACTGATGTGGAGGTGAACGTTTTCTGGCAGTTTCCGTGGTCTGGCGTAGTTCGTGCGCAAAGCGAGACTCACATAGGGCTCATTGCTGTGGTGAGAGAGCCGGGGGGTTTGCTCTTTCCCCTCTCTCGCGAAGACGCATTACGGCAAGGTCATTTTCAGATATTACGATTCACATACAGCGCACCTCTGTCCCCTGCGTAACTGAAAACACGCCACCTCCTGCCCCCCCTCCCAAAACGAATCACATGTTCCAGATGGACTGGGAAGCGCACGAAATCAAGGTCCGAGAGGAATACGACACCCACCGCGCTCAAATTCAATCTCGTTCGGGAATGACCGCTTCAGGCGGAGGAGACAGGGCAAGATACGGCTCGCGCGGTGGGACTGGTGCCGCTGATGCTGCTTCTGCGTCTTCCATGCCGTGGCACAGCCGCGAGAAACAGGTGAAAATTGTGGTCGAAGGAGTATTCAACGCGATCTGCAGAAATCCGTTTTTCACTGAACGAAACACTAGACAGATCAAAGTGTGGACTGCGGCTCTTGGGCTTTGTAGTCGCTTGACGACACCACCGCTCTGGCGTTGGCCTGATGGCTTCTCCCTTATGCTTGCTCCATCTCGCGGCTTACTTTGTTTTACTCGTCGCCGTAGGCAATAACGATGCCTACTGTGCGCATCCTTTCCTTTACCTACCCGGTCCCGCTCGCAAAAATCGAAGGCTAAAACTCTTCGTCAATACACTTTTCCTACTGTAAACGATGGCGCCCGATTGTGCTCGTACACGCGTACCCCCCAAACTAAGGAAGCAATGTTTGCAAGTGCCCTCCATGCAATAGCTATTTTGCCGGTGGGCTCGCGAGCGACAGCAAGCTGCCGGTGTGATCGTAAACCTTTTTTCACCCGCCGGTTCCTTAGGCGGGGGTCGAGGCAGCGTATGAAGCGACGCAATCAGCCTAGCAAACCTGGGAAACCACAGTATTATCGGTGGCATCACGATGGTACCGGCAGCATCAAATACAGAACGGCCCCACAAGCAAATCATTATCCGTGATCGAAGCGAGACTCGAATTTTGACCACAAATAGGGCAAACAGGGTCAAGCAACACCTGTGCTCGACACGGTGGCAGCGAACTAAGGCACCGAGCCTCGACCTAAGCCCGTTTTGTACACAATAAAGGCGCCGCTGTTGCCTCAATTTCACCCAATCTCTTGGCTGTGCACATCCGCCAACCTCCCGTTCTGACGAGACAGTCGAGGCTCATCCACACGGCGCCGGTTTTCCAGCCGCAGACGGGGAAGGCATCGTCCGCAGGCGGGTCGGGGGGCCAGAACTCCGCGCAGGTGGTCGGGCGGACGGGTGGTGGTCTTGGGAGAAACAGCGACTTGGGGTACTGGGCGCCGAGGGCGGCGACGGAGCTTGAGAGGCTGGACGAGGCGTTTGCGGCCGTGGGGGCGCAGGTTAGCGCGCAGAAGGAGGCCGCGAAGAAGTGGATACGACGGCAGAGAATACGGATGGAGGTGTGGTGTGTGTGTGTGTGTCTCCGTGTTTGACGTTAGGAGTCCTGTGAGGATAGCCAGCCGGCTGGTCGTCGAAAGCTCGACCGTCGTAGCGGGGCTAAATTTGAATTTCTTAGTGGTCGTATCCGAGTGTCAGTTGTTACTTTTTGCTTCTCGTTGTCAAATTGAGCTTGAGCTTGAGATTGAGTCGCAGAGAAGCCGGACTGTTCGAATGACAGAAGAGGACACAACGAAGTCGACCCACCCCACCGCACACGAGCATCTAGCAAGCTAAGCATGTTGGGGTGCCACCTGGCGAACCCTATATCGCAATGAGAAGAGCAATCTCCGTGTCCGAATGCCTGTCGATCACAGGCGCAGATTGACGCCATGGGGGAAGAGAGAGGTAACCGGCAGCGAAGGTTGTCGGCAGCCGATAGAGAGGAGGCACAACTAATCGCGATGGTGCTCGCGGAAGGATGATGACGCCTCTCACCTCTTGGCAACGGTGGTGGCTACAAACCGAAAAATTGGTTTTCAGGGGTGAAACCACTGCTAATTCCGAAAAGCTCACATTCAATGTAGATAGAGCCGCTGAGCCAAGCTTCGCCCACGGAAGCATTTGGCAGGAGAGAGGGGAGTTATTAGGCATTGTGCGGTAGCGGCGAACACCGTAATACGCGTTCCTTGTCGTTCGAGATGCCCAGAGCAATGATTGGAGGATTCGGCAGCAAACGGGGGAGTTTCAAACCGAAGACGAACCCGGGCGAATGCGAGACCACCTGCCAGCGGCAACAGCCCTGTGTGTTGCATGTTGGACGCTCGGGGAGCAGGGGGATCACCCCACTACACGTGCTATACCTTCTCGTCCCGTTCCTCCCTGTGCATCTTTCCGTTTCCTTGATGCCAGTACGAGATAAGGTTCTTGCAGTTGGTACGCTGGCGCGAGAGTTGTAGATACGAGAGAAATAGGTTGCAAGAAAGACCACCTCCAGTTACCTTCATTCCTTATCCACAGATGCACAATGTTGTAGTGAGGATGGACTCGCCGTCTGTTGCAAGCGAGGGTCTCTAGGAAATACCCTATCTCCAATGCTTCTGCTCATTGTCCATTCTTCACCACCCCACCCCACCCAAAAATCGGTCCGGCTCCCCTCGTCCCGCTCTCCAACGCGTCGTCGCCTGGCTGGAGCTGTTGATGCGCAAGCAGCGCCGGCAAACTAGCATCCTCGCCGCTCGTCTTCCTGGTGTGTACGGAGAGCCGAGCGAGGAATCATCCTTGCCACGGCTTGCCTCTCAAGTGGCCGCCGCCGCCGCCGCCGCCGCTGCCGCTGCCGCCGAATGGTCTTCCCCCGCCCCCGTGCTGAAACGCCTCCAACTGCCCGCTCCCCGCTTCCCGGTGACCACCGCCCGTCACCTCCTTTTCCCCCGTGCCGATGTGGCGAGCATCGTGACAGCGGGTCATCTTTGTCGGTAGTTTGAGATAGGTTGCAATGCTGTCTGCTCCATCGTGGAGAAGAAAGAGGCTGGTTTGCTATCGAGTTGCCATGTGTGAAAGACAACAGCTCCAAATGCCATCAAATTGAAGCGGTGTTGCAGTCAGTTGGTTGGACTAAAGCGGTGAATTCGAGACCAGCGGCAACTTCGACGTCACAACAAAAGACTGCTGCTGTACACCCTTCACGGAGAAGATCGAACGAGTATGCATGTGCTATAGAATATATCGACCGGTTCACCCCTTTGCCCTTCGGGTACTTCACATCGTATGCTATAGACACATTGGTACAATTCGATGTTGCCTGTTTACAATTGACATTGTATCTTGCTCTCGGAGGAGGGCAACATGATTGATCGGCCGAGTGACACATTAGTAGCAGTCATCCGGCTATCCTATTTACCAGAGCTTTACACGGGGTAGAACACGAGACCACAGCCAGTGGAAGGCGAAGTGAGTCCAACCCAGACCCACAGGCACACTACCATCTGTACATTCAGGATGTGTTGACAACCTCACGGACACATGTCTTCCAACCTTTGTCACTCGGAATGGGTGGGCGAAACTCATCGGCCCTGTTTTTTTTGCTCCTGCGGCAGAAAAACACCTACAGGGCAACATTCGCTCACCTGCTTCGCCTAAATTTTTTCAAGTCACCGCGGTTCCGACGCGTGGTTTGTGTGAAAGTCACAGACTACGCCTCGCGGCGGCGCAGTTCCACGGGATTTGCAGCAACCCCCTGCCGTCGTCCGTTTCTTCCTTGAAGCAGCGAGTTGACGACTGTCACTCAAAAGTAGGTAAACGCTTGGAACTGCTGCGTGGCCTTGACCGCTTGGCCGCAGCGTTGCTGTTGGAGTTGCGTGGAGAGACTTGTTGCCGCCACACAGCGAAATAGTCACAGCAGTAGAGACTCCTCGGATAACCCAAAGTTCTAACTACAGTATCAAAAGCAGCAGGGCTTCCGTGTACGTTGCTCTTACAGGGGGGCAACACCGAGGGAATATCTCTCAAGGCGGGTGGTTCGACGAGCTTTCGGGGTAGATATAACCGGTCTCCTCGGTACATGGTTCTACTTTGAGAGAGCTCTCTCGTGCACTATGTGAAAGACACATCACATCAGATACAATATCGAGCGTGATCTCCTCGCCGTTGCTGTCCCCGCCCTGTTCTCTGCTTAGCGTTGGCAGCGGGCAGCGCTGCAAATCGCGAAAAATGTACATGCGTGCCAACAGTCTAGATTGCGGCGGAATCTGGAATCGGAGACTGTTCTCTGGATCGGTCCAACAAGTACAGCAGTCTTTTATATACGCATGAACCGCTGCGTCCTCCAATCACTGCCTCTTGATTGTACAAGGACAGGGTGATCACGTGCACTGACTGGCTCCATCACGTTGTCAGGCGTGCGCGTGAAGAGAAAGTGGTGCAGATCGACGGCAGAAGAGCCCCCTGCTACCAGCATCCGCTGAAATTTCAACGAAAATTCTTTGTCCCATCCAACCATTGTCTCAACATGCTTGCTTCCCCTCGCTCCGCTGGGCGCTCGTGGAAAAGAGTCCACGAGGTTGAAATAAAACAAGAGGCGAGCGGAAGGTGATAACGAGCGGGTGCGGGGCCCATATATTCGTCCTCACACAGTCGAACCAATTCCGCCCGCCTGCCGCACCTTCGGAATCTGGTGGTCCTTGCACGAAACCAAGGTTTTTGCCGGTAAGGGAAGCGGACCGATTGCCTGCGGATGGCAGCCTCGACGAATGACCAAGTGGGGATGTCCTTCCCGGGAGGGGTGGCCGTGGTGGGAGATGGCACAGCTGAAGAACGAGAGTGAGTTGTTGTGTTGAAAGTCAATGGGGTTCACCCGAATGTCCTTCATATGTATCCGCAGATACTCTACTGCTGTTGTAGCTGTAGGCTACACCTGGCACATCCCCTTGAACTGGAACCGTGGCCTGTAGTCTGCACTGGTCTTCCGCAGCACAGCAGAATGCACAGACAGCATAGCTGTCTCTCGTGCATCCGCACGCAGTTCCCCGTAGCATGCCTGTAGCCCTCGCAGCTCGCACCGCAGTGCGCATGCGCCGCGGAGAACTAAACCAATCTTCAACCACGCCCAACCCTGATCGATCGTTCGCTTGTTTCAAATTTGAGAGAAGACAGCCGGAGCAAAAAAATAACGTGAAACTAGCGGATGCCGCGTCAGTGGCTGCTGAAGAGGGATACCTAAATGCTGACGATGGGGGCGACTATGGTTCGGATCATCGGGGAAGCGATTCAGATGACTATCATTACTCTGATTCGGATTCGGAATGCGAATGTGGAGGGGAATGGCCGAAGGTGATTATTTGAAATTCTTTCTACTGCTGTAGTCTAGACTGCTGCTCTATACCTAGACTATCCTCACAGAAAGATACCCGTTCGAGATAGATACAGTGGTCGACGGTCCTCGATAGCGGTGCCCTCAATAGCGAGATTCCCTCTATAACGGTAACAAAATCGATTGGCACGAATGCATCCCTCAGTAGCGGACGTATGTCGCTATCGAGGAATGAATCCTTTATAGAGGTATTTCAAGCTATAAAGGACTAACTAGTCTAGACTACATAAATGCAAGACAAGGTAAGGGGAGCATCAAAGGTCATGAGGATTCAGGCGTGGCGGGGCTCACGGCTGCCGTCAATGCGCTCAGTATGGGCGTGAAGGAGGTAGCGGTGGGGGGAAGGTGGTGAACAAGACTCAGAGATGTGCGAGGTACTCTCGTACCTCGGTAGGCGTCGTCCCGGGTAAGCCCTCCACCCCGGCAACCATGGAGGAGGTCGAGTCTTGGGTGCAGCTAGAGGAGCAGCATGAGGTGGTCAAGGCTCTCGCCGCGGACGTGGACGCGGCGCTCAATGAGAAGATAAATGACAGCTTTACAGAGGACTCCGATTCCGACGAGGGGGAGCTGAACGATACGGGGGATGTTGAGAGGGCAGGGGGTAGGAAGTTGATGCCGCCGACGCCGTACTCGGATCTGTCGGAATTTGTCGCTACACTAGAGCAGTACGCACAGTCGGCTGGAAATGACGAGGCTGAGCATCTTCTTTGCAAGGCCAAGATTTCGTTCCTCGCAACCCACGCCGTTACACCAGTCCAGCAGTCAGACATGAGAATGTTTCTTGAATCATAGGTGCGTCGGTCAAGAAAGCAGCAGCAGTAGTGTCTGCTCTTTCTTTTTGCTCCAGTGTCGAATTTTTTATGTACGATGTGTGGCTCTACACCTGTGGTTCGTTGATGTAACCTTGTGATATTTCTGTTTTCTGTACGGCTCGTTGCTCTGCTAAGATACGATCAATGGGGGCGTGGTGTTGTAGAGTAGTGCAGTACAGCACAGTACAGCAGGGTGATGATTTCTGATTGAGCCAACTCAACACTGCACAGTACACCTTCAAGCGTACTGATCTGGTGTCAGTACTCCTGTAACTCAAAGTTACTTTGAACGTGCTGCTCAACGAGTGTATTATTATTGGACGCAATGACGCTGTAGGTAACACATGACACCAGCGAGCGCAGTGTTGTGAAAAAATACGGCTTCGTTGCCGCTCTCATCCTCAAAAGCGGTTCTGATACCGCTATTGAGGAATGTGGCTTCGGCGTTGTTGTCGCTCTCATCCTCAATAGCGGGATTAATATCGCTAATGAGGAATAGCGGTATTGTACCGCTATTGAGGAAGAACGGCAGTGCCCTCAATAGCGGGATCAAGGCCTCTTGTCACTACCTACCGCTATTGAGGACTGTCGATTGTACTGTAAAATACAACAGTGATTTTTGTTTTGGGAACAAATGGGTTGTTTGTGCGCCCCCATGTATTCGGCCGCTAGTGGTTGAACGCTGACATCTCCTTGCACCCACTTGATATGCATGCCCTACAGTATTTTCGCAAGTTACTGTAGTCTAGAGAGCTCTTCCCAGAGCTCTTCCGTGCGGTACATACCTCGCACAAAGGTGTGCAAAGAGGCAGGAAGATGACCGGAGTATGTTGTGTCCAGCCCCTGGAGCTGTCGAAGTGTCAAAGAGTTGCATCTCTAGCATACAAGAAAGAGGCACGCGGTGTATCACACTGGGAAAGGGAAAATGCCGGGAACCACTTCAATATCGACTTCTACCTGATACACCACGCACCATGTCACGCACAGCTTCCATAAATCCCCCGATCCTACGCCGCAAGAGCATTTTTTTCACCTCTGCGCTGCTGCGAAGTTGCTCTCGATGACGGAATGATACCCAAACCCCGCTACGCCCTCGAACCCGCTGCACCTGCACCGCCCCGCACGCTTTTGCGCAGCATCCCGCGGAAGTTGATGCGGACGAGTTTATCGACGGCGTGGACGGTATATCTGCAAGGGTCCACTTATCCCCGGCCCTGACGAATATCTGGGTTTATGTCGGTCCTCGGAGACTTTCGGAGGGCCGTGCTTCTGGAACTTGTGTCAAGACCGTCGGCCTGGATCCCAGCAAAGGAGTGTTGGTAAGTAGAACGCGACGGATGATTCGTGACCCTTTCACACTGCATGTGCTTCTGCTGCGGGATGTTTTCGAAGGAGAGGCCGCCCGTTTGTGGTCTCATGCGACGAGCGGTGCAAATCAGTTTCACCGCGAGCCCAGTTTCCTTCTGGCATCGCGACCATCGCGGGGCGAGGTTTTGATGTCTGTTGTTCAAGTGCTACAATCGTACGAAGGAGAAGCAGCAGGTATCGGTAATGCCGCCAGAGGTTTTCCTATGCTTACACGTAGCACTGCGCCCCGGTGGTCTAGTGGGTAGCCTCGTAGCCTGCTAAGGGCCAGGTCATGGGTTCGAGTCCCGACAGAGTGATTTTTTTCTCGCTTATTACGTCCTGGTCTCCGTTGGGAGCGACGCGCTGCAAAGCTCGTTGTTCGTAAACTTGATCGACTTCATAAGTCGCGAGGGAAGGGATTGCTGTACCCTTCTCGCGATAAGAATATCTCAGGCAGGAACCGCAGGAGGGGGTCCACCCCCCCCCTCCTATGTGACCCCGGTTGGGTCGTCCAGCTGGTAGAAGTGGAGGACAGGGGCCAGAAGGGCAGACGACAGAACCCAATGATGGGAGAAAAACAATACAAAACAAAACAAAAACGTAGCAATATGCAAATCGTTCGAGACGTGCTTGCTGTACACATCTCTCATGCCGTTCGCGCCTCAAATACGCAGGTGATGCTCACCACCCCCCACGACTACATATCGTCAGGCGAGTTCCCGCAAGTGAAGTGGGCAAGGCAGGTGGCACCGGCGGCGATGGACAAGCAGAAAATGGACACCTACGGAAGGTGAGGGCTACATTCTGTGCATGCTTGGATTTGGCCGGGTAGAGGCCCTCTATTGGGGTGCTGCCCCCCGGGGCTACGTCTGGATGTTGGCGGTGGAAGGTTGTGTCTCAAAGAACACGAGCAAACAAACCTTGAAAACACGAAACTTTCTAGAACTACAATTGAACGGAGCTCTACAGGGTGTGTTTGGCTTGTGCGAGTCCTCGTGCGCGTGGTTGAAGGCCCCAACATGCTAGATGAGTCACAGGGTTCGTGTTCGTCTACGACTGGAAACACGAAACCCTTCATGCATTCGCCCTGTTACCGTCTTCTTCCTCTTCTTCTTTTTCTTCTTCTTCTTCTTTTTCTTTTTCTTCTTGATCTTCTTCGTTATCTTCTTCGTCGTTGTTGTTTTGATGTTCCTTACCGTGTTGCTCTTCAAAGGGCAATAATTGACCTTCTGTGGCGACGACCTGGCCGTAAACACACTCCAAGACCCAAAGGACCATATATCCCATCCCTCGCGCAAGAATATTCTGGATGAAGGCGGGACATGTGAACATCTCGATGTACCACCGCGTAGTGGGGGACGGGTAGTATCGTTCAACAACCAAATTTACAACGACGACGACGACGACCACAATAACCATCACAAAACCCAATTACTGACACGGACGACCCACCAACAGCATCGGGAAGACATTCCCGCACGAGTGGATGCTCTGCGGGAAGATTAAGGCGCAGTTGACGCGAGCTTGGTCCCAAGGCAAGGGGACATCACGCACGAGCGGCGAACACGCCAAAGGAGGAGACCGACCCGAGCGAGAGATGGGCGCCGATGTCTGCCGTGACGGCGGATCCCCCGCTCGAGAGGGTGGGGTAACGGCGGCGATGACGGCAGGAGAGGGGAGGGCGAACGAGGAGACGGGCGGGGGGAAGCTTGACAGCGCTGCAATACGTCGGGCGGTTAAGATGATTTGCGAGTCCACTGTGGTATCGGCGGGGCTTGCTGCCTATGTTCTGCGGATCTCAAAGGTGCCTTGGGAAGGGTGCTACGGGAGTGTTGCTGATGGGCGTTACGGTAGTAATGTAATGAAGAGCCTGCGTTAGTTCGTGGCGTCTACTACGCCCAGCGTGTGGACAACACTGAGGTATGTTGTCTCAAAATATTACGTGAGCGCGATCCGGTAGCCGTGCAACCTCGCAACAACGATACGGTAGAGATCGCCCAACCCCTTTCGTTCCCCCCATTTCAGAACGACGAACAAAAGGCTCAGCTTTGCCTTGCCGATGAGGAACAGCGACCGGCGCTGAAGGCAGCATTCAAGGAATTCACTGAGCTGAAGGGGAGATTTCCACAGGTTGACGAGGTGAGTCTCGGTTGTGAATGCTTTCAACGAAAAAAAATCCACAACGTAGAAGGAGGTACAACAGGAACAAGGTTTCTAAAAAAGCTTATCGTTTGTTTCCATTTGATCCGGAACAAGCCTTAGGGAGAAACGCGAGTTTTTGCCGATGCCTACATTGCTGAGTTGACCGCGATGTCTAACAAGATTGAAGACAGAGCTCGCGAGGCCTTGAGAACAGGAAACTAGCAAAGGCTCGCACAATATTTCGTGTCAATTTTTTTTTGTGTTTTTCAACGGTATTGTTGCGTCTTGCAGGGTTTGATTCGCCGGTGTTGTGTGACCATCCCTGCAATTGTCTCTGTTTTTTTCGGCGTCGGCACAGCATGTATGTGTGCGGCAACAGTTGTGTTGGATCAGCCAATGGTTTTTCAACCGAGGCCGACTCGCGTTAGCTTCGCTCCCCCAGCGGGAACGAACAGCCGAATATATGGCAGGTGTAAACAACTCACCAAGGAAACGCCGCTTCGCTCACTCTGTAGAACCCTCATCCAACCCCCCTCTTAGGTATCTTGCTTTCACGCAGTTGCGGCCCATCCTGGGTCCATCGAGCTGCAACGTGACTACCTGGTGTGCATGGCGCTGGCGCAGCCCCTGTTGTACCCGCTGCCTCAGCCGAAGGGGGACACTGCTGACGGCGACGATCTGTTAGACCAGTACCGTAGGGCTGAGTTGAAGACGCTCGCCAAAACAAACCCATTGGTGAGTTGTTGTCGTGGTCGTTGTCGTTGTCGTTGTCGTTGTCGTTGTCGTTGTTGTTTCCGTTGTTGTTGTTGTTGTTGTTTCGATATGAAACGTGCAGGCATGTATTTCGGCCCCGACCGCCAGGCTGGTGCTACTGTTCCCTATGCGCTGAATGCCACTCTATTGTCTCGTACACTCACTCACCCTCTCTCGTTTCTACCTGTTCGATGCCAAGGTTTGCGTGGCGCTGACCGTGATCGAAGGGCTGAAGAACATTGTCGAGACCTGCCTGGTTTGCGGCGATGAAATACAGGGGCACACCGTGTCGATGCCGACCGTGTGCCACCAGGTGGGGCCGATGTAGGGGGCACGAAACTCGTCGCGAAGAGTCGGAACCGTGCATTGAATCGAAACCCAGGACCTGGGGGAAGTGTTCAGAGGCAATGGCTTTGCTGAGCAGGTCCAGGCTCTCTCCCTTTAACCCTACTCGCGCACAATGGGGATGGTCTGCTATCCTCACTCGTTTTACTGTCTGCCTGCCTTCGTGACTGTGCCTCGCTCGCCTCCCCTGCCCCTCGTCCGACATTATTAACGCAGCGCTTGTGTACATTGACCTCGAGGGTTTTGGAGAGCCGGAAGCGCTGGAACTTCGCGTTTCATCAAGCCCAGTCACCCACCATGTCCCCGGCGAGGCAGGTTGTGCGAAAGAAGGTATCAGGGCTTACTGCTGGTGTGTGCTTGGCTACCCGCCCAAAACATCCGTCGTTGGTTTGATCTTCTGTTAGTCTAGAGGTGACCCCGAATCATCCACATTCGATCGTCGCCGTTGTCGGGAGACGTCTTAGAGTTTTGTTGCGCGTTTGGCTCGGTATTGACATTCCTTTTCCCCGTACTGCGGAGTTTCACCGACTCAGAAGCACTGGAGCGCATTCCGGGTTTGGTGATCGAGTGTTGAAGGGGAGATGCGTTGGGTTGGGATGCAAACGGTTTTGGCGAAAATTACCCCCGCATGTACGCCCATGGTAATCGCGTTCCGTGCGAGTTGGACATTCGTGTGCTCGTTGCAATGTTTTACCCTTTCCATCCCTTTCACCCCGTTCCATCGCTTTCGTGGTTTTGGATGCAGCTCTCGCCTTCTAACACTTGACCCGTCCCTGCATACGTATTTAATTTGCTCTTCTGCCACAGCTTTTCGAGGCGCCGTCGGATATCGTCCTCGTAAGTCCTGCGGGAGGTCTAGAAGGACAGGTGAGTGAAAGCATTGGATGGGCACCTCCGTACACGGTGGAGGGTTTCCTGTACAAAGCTAATGTTTCGCCTGTTTTGTGCTTGTTGTTACCGAAGGTAGTTGTGCCTCACTGGGTGGATGGGAGAATGCTCTCGTTGTCCGCATAGGCCAGGACAATTTTCCGTGCTTCTGAAAGGAGATGAAAACCAAGGTGAAGACTGATGACACAGCACCACCACCACAAACAACAACAACAGCGTCGCACACGCTTTCCGAAAAAGAGCAGGTGCTCAACAACGGAGAGGTGGTGGAACTGTTGATCGACCTCTTCCGTAGAGCCTTGGAGGGCACGCGGCCCGAGCTAGGCTTTCCGGATGCGGTGAGGAAGGAGATTAGCTGTTTTGGTATTGTTGTTGTGGTTGTCCTGGCTGTCGTCCTCTTGTCGGTGCCGGTGTTGGTGCAACCCGTTGGTGTCTCCGACCTGTGCTCAAGAAGCAAGAGAACCATCGGTGGGAATGCCTGATATTTTCTGGTACCACCGAGAGCTGTCAGCGAAAACATGCTAGGCGTTCGCCGCGACATACCCCCTGGACATGAAGGTACAAATTTTGTGGCACGGCGTCCGTCTTTCAAGGAGTGAATGCCAGGATTCTCATGGGTACGAAACCACGCGCTGTCGGCTGGCATTTGAGGAGATTTCGTAGAACGAGACTCCATAAGGGAGTAACTCGACGGTCAAAGTCAGCGTTGACACGAGTGCCGCCGTTTGCCACGACCGGGGCTTGGGACTGATTCATGGTCCACGAGTTGTGCTATGGTTGGTAATGTCAGCCCTGGACAAGTTGTGAACCCCGTACTTGTTCGTGTGTCGTATCATGGAGATCATAAACATGCCCTCGCCGCGACGTGTCATGTGTGCATGCGTAGGTGTTCGGACTTCAGGGGACCGGTCGCACGAGGGCCGAGAGCGTCATCGAAAAAGTGAGAGAGAAAATGTCTTATCACCCATCCGCAGAGGAGACCTCAATACGAGGCAGCTTTGCACTTGCGTTTAGCGGAATCATGCGTCAATCACATTGGATCCGTCAAAGAAGCCTTCGAAATCCCACATTCATAGAATTGAGTCGATGTTTTTCTCGTCGGGCAAAAACGTCGGAGTGCGGACATCGGCACGTGGGCGCATCTAGATTTGCTCGTCAGCACTGACACTATGTCTCGATGGCCCACACGAGCGGTGTGGGTGATCATGCCCGCACGTGAGGAGTCTGAACCCGTCGAAGAATCCAACCAGAGCCCGCAACGATTGACCGATGGATCGCAAGACACCAATACATTTCGTACGTCCACGGACAACAGCGTGAGCCTTGCAGAGGCGACAGACGACTTCATTCGCCCCTTTTTGTGCTTTGTTTGAATAGCAAGGGGCGCTGAATAGCAAGGGGCGCTCCATGTGAAGACAATGAAACACCCCTGATTTACGTGTCAATCGTGGTCGCGGGGGGGAGGCCTTACATGTGCCTAAGGGGGAAAAGTTTGACCAAATCCCCGGGGTTTCGACTTTTTTCGGGCGCTTTTTTCCCCGCGCGCTGGCGGGATCCCACTCAGAATTAGTGGAAATATTGGAACAACCCCAGGCTACGCGTCAACACGTCAATCTTGGTCGCGGGAGGGGGGGAGTCTATTGTTTGGTATAGGATATTGTATAACGACACTGAAGCTTTACAAAAACGAGTGTAGTAGGTTTTAGAATGCGGCACGAAAGCCTATACAATGAAGAGTATGTTGGTTTTACTATTGACACACTAAATCCTATTCAGTAGACTGCTGCACGTGTGCCGCGTAAAGTGGCGATCCTGCGTGTTATTGGCCCGGAGGGTGGGGGGGG